GGGAAAGAATATCGGAAACAATCTTGAGGGGTGGAGGCAACTGAATACAGAATTCTCAAATGTTGGGAAATTATAAGGAAGTTCTTAGAATTAATGTGAGTAAAAAAGTTACTCTTAATCTCTCGGTCCCCCATTCCGGACATACTTCGGTTTTAGTACGTGTTTATATTTTTCATGCATAATGTGGTGGTGCTTGCTTTTACTAACGTACAAGATGGTGCTAGTTCTTTATGCAAACGTCATCAAGCTAATTAATAACAGTAATGTATACACTGGAAGCAATAGTTATTCTGAGGGCATTTTGATTTTAATTATTAATAAACGTTCTGATAGTATATATGTGGGTGCAGGGTAGCATGTGTGAGCATATCCTAGTTTTGCCTAATATTTTGTATGTAATCTGCATTGTTTGTCTTGTTTTATTCTCATTCTAGGCCCTGTATTGTCTTGCATCTGCAATCCCGTGACTTTTCCTTACAGTCGCCATGCTGGTTTAACCAGCTCAGTGCCTCCCCCCATCTTTACTTCTTCCCTTCCCGGCATTACACCCTTCATTGCAAACTACAGGCTGAAGTGGATCAGGGAGCTGATCCAGGTGTTCGGTATCTGCCCTGTGGTTTTTTTACTGCCACTGAGAGGAGAAGCATAGCTCAGTTCTCTGAATGCATAGCTTTACTTTTCTATGATCCAAAATCAGTTACTTGTAAATTATTTTAATTAAAATATGAATGGAGTATAAACATAAATATTTTTTATATATGTTAGAGACTTGCAGCTATCAGCCTTTTATGTCTTTATTTGATAAAAGGATGCAGAAGGCAGAGACTGCAGAGATGACTGATGAGAAGGGATGGGCTGGTTGGTTTAGGGTTATTTTGGAAAAAGGCTATTAAGAGAGAAACTGAATTGCTTTGGCCATTTTAGAATTAGTATTTCAGCCCTTGTACTAACAATTGTTGGTCCACATCTAAAAAAAAAAAATTACAGTACTTTCTGTCAATTTTTCTAATAACTTTATAAGACACTTGATTTTGTTAAAGGCTCTGATTCTATCTTGATTATCATTGTTCAGATGTATTAGTGCTTGCTTTCACTTAAGCCAGTTTCTTTTGAATCTGTGAATACTCAGTGTGTTTCAAAAGCTCTGTACAGTTTTAAAAGGCTGAAGAGAAAACTGACAAGCCTGAAAATTAACTCGTGGCAAAGACCTTCTGAAAACGAGGAGAGTTCTCACAGTCATCCAGACGGAAGTTTATCTTTCTTTAAATTTTGATTTTAATAAATGCATATTCTCCTGTGCATTGGACATAAATCACTAGTGCCACTTAGTAGTGTCATTTTGATTTTATTTTATAGATTATTAAGGTATTATAGGTATTTACACAGATTTATTAGAGCAGTTGCTCAATTTTCAGTTTGTTCAACTGAAAGTAGATACAATGGTAATATTGCAGGTTATTAAATTTGGGGGCCTAAATGTTTGGCTGCACATTAGCACAAGAGTAAAAAGTTGCAGAATTCATTGAAAGCTCTGAGTATCCGTCTGCTGAGAAGAAAATGATTTGCTGTTTTTCATCAGCTGTGAACATCTGTAAGGAGCTGCATGTTTCATTTCAAGTCATTGCATTAAAGAGTTCAGCTCTGCTGTGGAGCTCAGTGGGTCTGTACCCCAAGTGCCGCTGCGCTCCCTGCTCTGGAGAGTGGCATCAGGGTGGCCGGGGAAGTCCATTTTTAGTGATCTTTCAGTAAGGTTTGTACAGCTGTGAAAGAGGTGTTAGAGGATTAAGGAAAACACCAAGGAAAAATAAAAAGAAAAAGAAAACGCAAACAAAAAAAAACCCCAAACCAACTAATGGCATGGCTTCTGTGGGAAGGTGGGAACATGGAATACTGATTTTATTGATTTCTGCTGCCCTTTTCTTGTGCTGTGCATATTAGGACCCCCTAAAATTTACTCTCATGTACTTTTCCTGTTTCCAAGTAGAAAAAAACCTAGGCATTAGGTGTTACCCTGTTCCCAAGGCACCCCGAATTCCCCAGAACAATGGAAAGTATTACTGCATGAAACTTCTTGCAATTTTCTTTTGTAATGTGAACGACAACTTATTTAATAAAGAAAAGCAGATATCACCAGAACAATTGGGTTTTGGGGTTTTATTTCTTGGGGCCTTGGGGTTTTTTTGTTGTTTGTTTGTTTGTGGGTTTTTTGTGTTTTGTTGTTGTTGTTTGCCCCTATGGTTTGCATGGCTCATTGACGTAGTAATGCTGGCATGAAATTCACGTAGTGTTCTAGAGTGGTTTTTCTTGAGAAGAACTTAATTATATTTTTCGTTTTGTTCTCACACCTCCAGATACTTAACTACAGGAAAAAAAAGAAAACAAACTTTTATTAGGTATTTTAATGCTTTAGTCATTTTTAAATTTTTATTTAATACCGACCCTGCCTTAAAATGAGTATAATCTTGAGTCATTTGAGTCTCGTTAGAACTTGTGCTGAACTGTATCTTAATGGATTCCCATTTGATTTCAGCCTGTGTTTTTCTTTGACTAGGATATCCTTGTCAGCCAAACTAAACGTGTGCAAGCCATGTAGAGCAATGCAACCAAAAACCCATTATGTTCGTATAACAGAATGGGGTTTATTGATACCATTTACATACTGTCATGTTCTAAGGTGGATTATAGATAGCATAACAAAGAGTGGAAGTTAGAATTAAAAATAACACTCTTGAAAAGTAACCGATTGCACTGTTATCTCTTTTTCTTCAGTTTGTATTTACAGTCTGTCCTTTGGAAGAAATCGTTAATCAATTAATTGTTGCCTGCTTGCTAATAACAGTGAATTCTGATGTCCATTTTCCTTTTTTGTATTAATTGAGGGCAGGTAATCAAGAAAGCAGTAACACGTCAGTTCACGAGTACTTTGCTTCCCAGGCCCTTTATCTCCTGTAAGGCTGTAACCTCAGAAAGGTGGCTCATAGAAGTGGTCTTTATTGTAATGGGTGAACGGCTTTAGGGTGACCTGGTTTTGGGACCTTCAGTTTTCCAGAGGTGTTTGGGGGGACTGTTCTCGCACGTAGCTCTTCTCGTTGGGGTTCTGCAGGACCACGTTTCTTGCATCTTCTGTGCCACATGTCAGTTAGCCTGTGGGAATGTGGGGTGAATAATTACGATGATACAAAGTGTGGTGTCATAACCAGACCGCTTCTTTTCCCCCTTAATTTGCTTTGGACACAGCTGTCGTAGAGCTTACCCAAGCCTAATGAATATGAGATTGGTGTGTGCTGCCTGGTATCATCCGTTAAACTTTACCAAGATTTTGGTTGTTCTTTGCGGGATGCAGTTCGTTAACCTATTGAATCCTGTCACTACCACGGTGCTGTAAGCAGAAAAAAGGTTGAATAAACTGTTGTGCTTTACCGTGTCAGGTCAGAGAGCACGTAGCGTCTTTATTTGTATTGCAATCCATATTTATTCTTTCCAGTGTTTAAGCAATGCAGAGAGTTGATCTGAAGTCCCTTGGGGTCCTTGCATCTCTAGCAGTACTTTTTAAAACTATGCAGCTACGTGCTATGACCTTGCAATATTTCACAGGTCTTTTGAACTTGAAACTAGTAACTGTTGTGTACGTGGTTTTAATTAGAAGAGATTCATGGTACTTCATCCTTAAAACTACTATGCAACTACTAACAGCTTCCAGTGTTCACCAGGTATTCCTTAACTTGACATACTCTTGTGTCAACAATAAGAAGTTCCATCTTAGGTTGGCTTTTTACTAGTATGTCCAAGCTTTATGAAATAAACATCAGTTCTTTACTATTAAAATACTTCTAGTTGAAATCAGCAGAATTTTTCATTTACGTGTGGTATTGTGGCTTGGAAGGTCATTTGCTGGATTTTGGTGCTGACAGCATTTGTGCCTTTAAAAAAAAAAGAAAAGGCGATCGAAGGAAGTGAAATGCCCTCTGGTCTGAGGGCATACTTTCAGAGTAAAAATGCATATTTCATTTCTGCAACTTTCTTCTATTCTTAGCCTCTTGTGTACGTGAACATTGGATAAACTAAGCTTTCTGTGTACTCTTTTGATGCATTTGATAAACTAACAAACCGCTAAGCAGTTGACATTCCTGTTATTATTTTATTAAGTCTTTTATCTGCTGAGAATTAAGAAAACAGCAAAAGTAGTAAGTAGTACATTCTGCTTACTTTATTGGTCAAGCACATACTATTATTTTGTGTAACAGTGTTCCTATTGATGCATGTTATGTGTTCATGGTACAGCAAAATATCCTCACTGTGTTTCAGTAAAATTGATTTTGCTATCGGAAGTGTCAACACGGGGATAATGATTGAATCCGAAAACTTGTTTGCAGAATTATAGTCTTGCTGTGTATTCATATGCATATTCATGTATATTCATATAGAGTTATAAATGACGCAGTGTTTTTAGAAATATAAATTAATCAAGCTTGATCTGTTTGACAGTTCTATCATCCTTCTTTGGAGTGTAAGTTAATGATGGTGAATGTCAGCCTCCAGTGAAAGTAGTGGTATATTGTAGAATTAAGCCTTGAATGCTGTTGTGTTTGTATTCTCCACTTCAGCCTGGACTTTTTTGGTGAACTTTTATTTTCTTACGAGCGGGTGATGATTGAATTACTTCTACAACACGTCGTTCAAGATCTCAAACACACAACAGTAATACAGTTCCTATAAGGGGTTCATTTGTTAATCTGAGCTCTGTTTTACAAAAATTGTATGAATGCTGCTTTCCTTTGCAATTGATCTTCAAAAAGAAATCCTGTTTTGTATAATAAGATGCCAGACTCACAAAGATTTCCTTTCTTGTTTCATAGACGTTCCATCTTCAGAGCAGCCTGAACTGTTCCTAAAGAAACTTCAACAGTGCTGTGTCATTTTTGACTTCATGGACACGCTTTCAGACCTTAAAATGAAAGAATACAAGCGCTCCACTCTTAATGAACTGGTGGACTACATTACAATAAGCAGAGGCTGTTTGACAGAGCAGACTTACCCTGAAGTAGTTAGAATGGTGAGTTTCTTCTTTCTCGTAGTCTCTTTAAATCCACTTGCCATTCCAGTTACACATTGTGGGCGAAATTGAACCCTGGAGTAGGTGGATTAAATGAGGCCTTTGGTTTGTATTTTCTACTAGACATCACTTGGGGATAATTCTCCAAGGACAAAAATACTAATTTTTATACATGCTTAATTAAAGTCAAGTAGATGATGGTTATTATAGTGTCACAAATGTATGAAAGGAAACCTGGATTGTTTCCTGATGGAGAAAGCCAGCAGCCATAAAATCAGAATCCCTCACATTTCCCCCCACCTACCTCCCCTCTCCCCCCCAGTATAAATAATGGAATAATTTTTGCAAGTTTCTTATCTTTCTTTGAACTTTATCCAAGCTCTCGAGTGTGTACTTTAGGCGGATATAGCTTAAAGTATGCACGGATAATGATTTTTAAATAATAAATGTTAAAAATGTTGTATAGGATCAGTGTGAAAATTTCCTGGTTATATTACGTGGATTCATAGCAGCTGCCATTAGAGTGAGCAAGATTACTCAACAATAAAGCTATACCTTGTATAAATAAATTGTCATATAATAGTGTTTTCAATGTAAAAATGGAAACAGTACCATATGCTAGCTATATGGTGAAGAACATTCTTTGAGATTGGCAAAATCAATCGCTGCTTTAAAATGTTTATTCTCTACTACCATACGGAACCCCTATAACCCTTATAACCTGTTATCTAAATGAGAAGGCGATTAGTTAAATATAGAGTTGGTGATGTTGGTTTCCTAATGGCACTGTGTGATCATGGAATCCACTGGCTATGTGCTGTAAGAAGAAAAACGTGAATAGATTTTACATTGCATTATATATGTTCCTTATTTCTTTTCTGACACACAGATACATGCTGTGTGGCTTGCCTGTAATATTTAAAAATAGCTGTAAATTATGACAGAATCATCAAGCAGTTAGTAGTGAAGATAAAAACCAGAATTAAGGGTGTATGGAAAAAATCTTAGTATAGCTTCTTTGTGTGTATGCATTGTCAGAAAGCCTATAATTATGTGATCAGATTCTTCCCCTTCTCCCCCACCCTCCCTTTCTCCCTTCCGTACTGGACCAATCTTCTGAATGAACTGCTTTTCAGTCTGTTGTGTTATTTGTTCAGCATATGGTCTAATCCACCATTCAAATACCGGTCTGTACACAGAATTACTGGTTCTTTGCTGAATTCTTTTGCTGGTGCTGCACTGTAGTCTCTAAATGGTTTGCAAATGTTAGTTTAATCTTACTTGTACCCCTTATGGTGAACAAATTGTGTTGTACCCTTTGTATAGACGGGACACTTACGCACAGATAACCTCAATAAAATTGGGTACTTTTTCTGTGTGTAGAAGATGCCTCCAAACTCACCTCCTGGGAGAATTTGCTATTTTTTTTTTGGCGTTTCTTTTATTGAGGTTGTATTCTCGTATTGACTTCTATTATAGTTGTTTACTGCAGCAACATTTGTAGAATAAAGACTCTGCAAGTTAGTGTTGTCTTAGGTCAGGCCCCAAGCAACAAGAAGAATTTGATCTGTAACTGCTCATAAAGTTCAATTTGAATCATAAATCATAACTTATGAAGGAATCTGAACTTGAACTGTAGAAGAGATGCAAAACCCCTTTGCTAGCACTTCTGCTGTCCCTACAGTCACTTATGTTGATTCACAAAACTGTTTTTATCTTAAGGAAATGATGCATTGCCTAAATAGTTTGAAAAGCATGGTTTTAAATCATTTTCTTAAATATAGTGTGTAACTATGATATGGAGGAGTTGCTGAAAGTAAAGATACAGTGTGAATTTTTCCAGTGGATTTCACAGATAATTTGCTAACGGAGCTTCAGGAATTCCAGTTTCAGCTTAGCTCATTTTTGATGGAAAACTGTTCTTCTTTTCTCCAGTATTCCCTAATTCTTTCATTGCATCATGCCCTTCTTCATCTTACTTTTTTCTGCCTTGCATTTGGGCTCCAGTGATGAACTCAAGCTACGTTTTCTCTTCACTGCCAGGGTACTTAAGCAGGGTAGGAGTGAGAACATTCTTGAGCCCTGTATCTGGCTATTCAGTGGCCCCTGACTGCCCAAATATGTTTTTTTTACAAATAAAAGGTGCCTAAGTAATCAGGGAATTGGACATGTTTTTTTCCTACGGAATTTCCTGAGAAAGTTGTAATATTTAAATTTTGTAAGAAACTCCAGCCTGCAACAGACAGCTGTGCTTTGATGGAGGTGTAAGCTATTGGAAAGCTGGAGTCTCCTAATTGTGCCTGTCGCAACCAGCAGTGTTCCTGGTGCATGTGCTCTTGGAAAAACACTCTGGTGGCTGTATTCCATGTGAGCAGGATGCTGAGCTCTGGTATTGAATTAATGTGAGTGAATTCATGGCAAATGCATGAATGATTTCTGTCGATCATCCCAGCGAATGCTAATGCAGCGTTTCTACTAAACCACATCATCAGGGCTTCTGTGCGTTGCAGGTATTTTGTATTTTACGGGTAGGCTATCTGGTCAAAATGCTATTTTTCCTCCTGGTCTTTGCCTATAAAAGCAAGACTTCTCCATCACTTTGAGTACAGTTATACAGGCCCTAGAGGGAAAGGAAGGACTAATATTATATAAAATAAGTTTTCAGCACATATTGCCTGGTGAAGAGACAGCATTAGTCACTTTGTGCTGAAGCATTATGTTTGGTGTAACTTGTTCTTTGCAATAAGTGCATCTTCTTGTTTCGGGAGAATTGTGCTCATAATCGTATACTGAGACAGACTTCACTGTACACAGTTGACTTCATGAGTGCAACTGCTGCTTTTATCTGCTTTTGAGGATTTTCATCTAGGTCTCCAACTGTGTTCACAAAGGAGCTGTCAAGTTGACACTCTCTGACCTGTCATGATAGCGAAGAAAACAGTAGTATCTATGTCCTGACCAAATTAACGTCCCCATTGCCTGCCTGCCACAATTGTCACGGGAGTGTTTTGATTGAAAGACCAGTATCTTAAATCTGATCAAAATGGAGCACAAGTGTTCTTTGTCCCTTTGGAAGGTCTCCTCCCTGCTATGTTTAGTGTTTACGAATCCAGGAATTAATATTTCTTGCTTGGCCTTTCAGGCTACTGTAATTTCGAGGTGAAGGGAAGTATTGTAAACAGGGGAAAAAGAAAGGAGCTGTTTTGTGAGTTTTGGCATCATTTAAGCGCAGAAAAAAAGGCATACCAATCTGAAGTTGATCTTTAAAAAGTTACCAATATTTATAAAGAAGGATTAATGGCTAAGGTGTTTTCTTATCTTAATTATCTAAAATGTCCAAAAAAGTAATATCTGTGGAAGAGTCTTTTTTTGTTTTAAACTTTTATAACGTACATGTATATTAGTGTTTTCTGTTCGTGACCCAAAAGGCGTTTGGCTTGACAGATAGTAGGATAGAAAAAGCTTGCCTGTAAAATTCTTCAGAAACTCTGAGATTTTTAATTACTTCTAAAACATGGTGGTGTTATGGTATAAGGGTTTGAAAAACAGTCACTTTGGGTAGCCGGCATAACAGCTTCTGGATATTTTTACTGCCAGTCATCCTAAATTCATGCCATTAAAACCTTAATCCCTAATCGTAATATCACATATTTTCATCTTGTTCTCTTGAGCATAGGATATGATGGTGTACATAGCTCAATGTGAAATCACTTGGCTATTTGTCAACCTGTGTGCGTGTCCACTTCTTTAAACCAGTCTCTTTAGCTTGATATATACAGAAGTGTTTGGCATGTTACTGGTTATTTAAAAAATAAAATAAAGTTGAATTTACTAACAGCCACCAAAGCAAGCTTGCAGGGGCCTCGTCACTGTCATCAATATCATTTGATGGGAAGAGCAGTTGGGATTTGCGTTAATAGCCATAAGCTGGACGGATTTATTCAGGAGGGTATTGCTCAGTGCGCTTCCCCTGCAGTTTGATGTGTTGTTCAGAAGAGCATATGACATTCTTTAGAATTAGGCTAGTCTTAGGAAAAAAGGCCCTTGCCAATTAAACCACACTCTGCTAAGAAGGAAATGCCAGTAATATGACTTTACGAGCCAATAATTGGACACTTAATCTAAAATTTGCTCCTGTCTGAGCAAAGTGTGGAGGCTTAAACTAATGATGCTGATTTTGCTGGTAGATTAAGCAATGGTAGTTGAATGAAATAAACGTTTGTTATTATCTGTGGTATCCTAAAGGGTGTACGTAGTAGAGCTTTTTGTGTTTTCCGGGTATTAAGACATAGATTGAGGAAACTGATTTCTTTCATTTAAAAAATTGGATGGGAAAAATTGACAAGCTGTTAAACTGAGAAATGTGGATGAATCTCTGCTGGTGAGCAACATTTCAGCTCTCCTACTTGCTGCTTCAAAAATTGTAAACCCAACCCCTGACGTTTACTGTGATGTTTATGCAACATCCATGGACAGTTGCCAGCCCATAAGAGATGGCTAATGAAACTTTTTTGAGAGGTACCTTTTAGAATGGAATAATATTACTTTGTTCTCCTCTCTTTTAAGTGCAGAAATGCCTTTGGCTTCCTGTTGTCATCTTTATCTTTCCTGTAATGACAAATCAAGTAAAATAAAACTGTAATCTCTATAGCCAAAATGAAACATCATATTAAATGTCTTGTGGCTCAGAAGCTGAGTGAACACAGTGAAAGAAACTTGGTTAAATAAATACTGAAATAAATACCAAAAATTGCATTTGAAAGGTCAAATTCTGATTTTTTTCCTTCTTTCTACTGACATAAATCTAGAGGGATTGCATTCCTTTTTCTGCAGGTTTGTCGCAACAGATGTGAGGGCAGAGTCTGATCAGGAGTTTGTTTGTGACAGACCTTTTAAACATAAAGAATATCTTGTTAAGCCATGAATTTTTTAGCGTGGCAAGGAACCTATTCTTAGGACGTTTGCTAGCTGGTAGACTTTATAGGCATTATGAATGTCTT